AGGCTTCAGTTCTGTACCCTTTAATGGGTGCAAAGGACATTCCACAGTGTCTGCTGGGTTCAGGACAACTGGGCTTCCCAAGGTGTGCATGAAAAGTTGGCAGAAAAGTCCCTTTTAAAATTCAAGCCTGAGTTTTTGTGGGGGGTGCTTTTGCCCCTTGGTGTCCTCCGGAGATACTACAGCATAGTCCGTCAAAATAGCTTGCAGTTTTGCCATCTGATATTCCTTGTGCTAGAAAGGGGCTAGCATCCTTAGGTGGGACCTTCCAGGCACAATATGGTTTCTGAGGTCCAAGTATCCTGAGTATGGGGGTTGGCTCTCTCTGCCTGCCCCTCACTAGAGCAACAGGGGGAGGTAGAACATTGGGATCTTTACTCAGGCCCAAGTGGACCCTTGATCCTCCCAGGAGTCCTACATTGAAGGTACCAGAAATTACATTTTAAAAAAGAAAGCCTGCTATGGACCTGTCAGCCCCAGGATATCTCTGGGCATGGACCATAGCCAGGACAGACCAAAAGGCTCTCTAGGTGCCATTCAAGAGGCCCAGCTCAGGCCATCAGGAGCAGGTTAGTCCCATTCCACCTCTAGACCTGCATGCAAGGTTCAACCATCATCTTTGGGGTAAGCAGGCAGAGGAATGAATGGGGGATGGAACTGGAGCTTGGGCTCATCAAGGTGCCTTCTGACAAGCCAGCAAAAAGCTAGCAAGTTGAAGGGGCTGGTCCCCTGACATAGGAGAGGCATGTTAGCTGAGGACATCAGCTACCTCTTACCTCCTGGTTTCTTCACCTACAAACACACCCACTCTTTGGGGGCTTGTAACACAGTGCGAGGAGGGTCACCTACAGGCATCAGACTGGTGTAGTCATCAGGGGCTAGCTGCAGAAGGAACACAGATTTAAGGCAGAGAGCTCTAGGTTCAGCCAAGCCCTTAAACCCTCCAGTCACATAATCTCACCTGGTAGGCCTGAAAGACACTGAGCAGATCCTTCATCCCAGCTGTGTATGGGACACCCTGCATGCGGACCAGGGCTCCTGGCTGGGACAACACTGAGGTGGGAGCAGAGGCCAGGGCAGCAGGGGGTGTGGTGAGGTAGCCCACAGTGGTAGGGGAGACTGGGGGACTAGGGTGAGAGAGATAGGTTTAGTAGTGCATCCCACCTGTGGCCTAGACCAAGACCTGCCTCCCTCCTCTCCTGCCTCTCTGCCTTATGCTTAGTTTAGTTCTTCCTCTTCCCCCCTAAAACCCCTCCCTCTACACAGTCATCTCCAATGTGTTTTGTAGATAGCATCAGCCAGTTCACACCTGTTACTCCCTTCTCATCCCAGGATAAAGTACAAAATCTCCCAATACACCATGGCCCAGAAGGGGATCATGAACTCCCCCAAGGCAGGAGGACAAGGAGTGAGACTATGAAGTTCTCTTAGTGGCAGGGTACCTTGGATAGTAAGCTGTGTAGTTCATGTAGAGTTGAGTGGCTGGACCTGGGTAGTAGGCAACAGGGCTGGGGGCAGCAGGCACCCTTGCAGTTGAGAGCAGTGCTGAAGAGGGGTATAGGGCTGCCGTCTCAGTGGGAATAAGGGTTGGGGTGGCCTGGAAGGTGGCATAGGTTGGTGGCGAGAGGCCTAGAAACGGAAGTAGAAAGTGCATCTGCACAGAGCCCACCAACGTCCTGGGTGGGGCAGCAGAAAAGAGTCCCCACTATAGAAAGTGGGAGCTTATAACAGCCTGGCCTCCACAGGCCTCATTCTTCCCAACCCCCGGGGCACTCACAGGGCAGCTTGCAGGGCGGAGGGGACATGCCACTGCGGCCCAAGGTGCCCCCTATCAGCACACGGCTCATCTCCTCTGTGGAACAGGGGACCACCTCCACGTAGCGTTCCTTCATCACCTTCTTATGACAACGCTGCGCAGCAGCTAGGGCCCGCTCTGCTGATGTCATCTGGATGAAAGCATCGCCCGATGGCCGGCCCTATGCACACATTTTATGAGCAGTTGTGTGCAAGAGTGCTTTAGCCCTGACACACACCCCTTATTTATGTGTCCCCACCAACAGTGCCTCACCTGCTGGTTTAGAACCATGTGCACACCATGGGGCCGGATGTCCACCGCTGCCTCACCCAGAAAGCTCAAGATGTCTTCAATTGTGGCTGTGTAGGGCAGGCCTCGAAGGCGTACACAATCCCTCCCTGTCCCGGCTGCCAGTGGGAAGGGGATGGGCAGCAGTGGGGCAGTCAGTGTGGGAAGGAGTGGACTAGATGCATAACGGTTCAGAACCTAGTAAGGAAGGCAGCAACAAACTGGTCATGACAAGCAAAGCAGAGGCATAGGGGACCAAAGGGCCACCCCTGGAGAACCAATACGTGGAGGGTAGGGAGCCCTGGGTACTCACCTGCTGCACCTCAGCTGCAGTGCTCCGGAAGATTTCGATGTATCGCTTACCCAGCATGCCCTTGTGCCTACGTAGAGCAGCTTGTGCCAGCTCCTCACAGGCAAAGAGGGCAAAGGCATCACCAGTTGGCCGTCCATCAGGGTGGCGCACAAAGAGCAGCCCCTCAGCACCTCCTGTCACTGGGCATTCTGGTCCCAGGAAGCCCAGCACGTCTGGTGGCCCAGCAGAGAAGGGCAGTCCCCGCAGCCGCAAGATCACTTGGTCTTCCCGTGACAGGAAACGAGCCACCTCTATTGATGTGCCTAGGCAGAGGGCATGGGAGTCACCTGCTGACTTCACCTCTGCTCTTCCAAACACCAACTGACACAGAGGGGAGCAGAGACAGGGGCTAGTGGGCAAGTAGGAGATGGGTCAAGAGCCAGGACTTGCTGAGGGCACACTCACCCCCTGCGATCTTTACAAACTCCTCCCCTGTGGCTTTATATACCTGTGGGTACAGCGGAACAGCCCATGGGTCTCAGGCCTGGCTCAGTTTTGCCCTGCTCAACTCCCAGCCCAAACCCCTACCTCAATATAGCGGATGCCCATGTGGTGCTTGTGTCTCTGCAGTGCTAGGTCCCGCTGCTCACTGTCCACAAAGCGGATGAGGGCCTCACCATTTCTGCGGCCTTGGGCATTGAGGCAAAGTGCTACACCACCCCTGTGAAGCAAGTACTGTTAGTGCCTCCTGGTTAGGTCTGTTTTCTTGGACGCACCCCCCCTGCCACTCACCTGGCAATGTTGAGCCCTTTGAAGAAGCGAGCCACATCCTGATCTGATGACTGCCAGGGCAACCCACGGGCCCGGACCACAGTCTCACTGTCCACCACATCAGCCTTGCTGCTGTGAGAGGAGAACACAGGGTCAGAGTTGTCCAGCTGTTTTCACCCCTGCCCCTGCTCCCACACTCACCAAGGCCCTGTCTCGTATTTCTGCTTTATCACCTCAGGTTCCAAAAACAATTGACCTTTGAAAGAAGACGGCATGGGTGTCAGCAAGGTCTGGTGGAGAGGTTTTTCCCCCACCAAGCTCTGCAAAAAGAGGACAGTTGAGGGAGAGGAGGAGGTGACAAAGGTGCTTTCATCTTGCAGGCTCTTAGAGAAGGTCACAACTGGGTAGGAGAACTTTGAGGAAGTAGTAGGCAGACATCAGGCAGTGAAGGGAATCTTACTGCTGGGCCCTTTGAGCAGGTGAAGGATAACAGCTACCATTGTCTTCACTTCCCAGACGCCAAAGTCATCCTCTGTGGCATCTGTCTCCAGCCCCAAGTCTATGGGCAGAGAAGTGACACTGAAGAAATCCCAGCATGAGCACTAATCTTGTTCACAACTGGGCCCTAGTCTCTCTATAGACACATACAGAAACCCACCATATACATTTGTTTTGGCCCAGTTCATGTGTGTACTTACAGGTCCCCAGCCCAGATGTACATGGACATATGCACTCATTGCAAACCTATCCTAGCACGCTGTCACAAGGACACTCAAGGACTCAGCAGGTAATGCAGATTTGCATATGTTGGTATAACCCACCCACTGCATGCACATGTGCAGATACATATAACCTAAAGCCACCCCTCCACCCAACCCTGCTGGGTCACAGGTACCCTGTGCCATGGTGGCCACAGTGAGGTCCTTGGCAGGGCAGGTGTTTGGGTGTTGCTTGTGGAACTCTCTGCAGAGGTCGTAGAAGGAGAAGAAGGTGTCGGGGAGCACCAGGTTCTGGGGACACATAGGAGTAAGGATGAATGGGGGAACTAAGGTGCCCTGCCCACCCACACAACATCGGGGGTCCTAAGAGTCCTACCCTGTGTTGTCCCCTCAGCAGCATACCTTCCTGGAGGCCTCAGGGTGCAGAACCTGTCGCAACAGCTGCTGCCCATCAGTACAGAGCACGTAGGGGCCCCCGCCCAGCAGAGCCACATCCCTGCTCACCAGCTGGGAGAACTGGGGATAGGGAGTGGGGAGATAGAAACAGACTCACAGCTGGGCAGAACGGAACTGGGGGCCGGAGGAAGGAGGCAGGCTGCAAAGCTGGTTTAGCCAGATGTTTAGCCCTACCTTGCCTGGGGAGGAGGAGGAGGCCACGCCTGCTGGGGCTGGCCCTGTGTCCCATCCCCCCAACTCCACCCCTGTCCCAGTCTGCTGTCAACTCCTCCAGGCCAAATGAGGGCAGTCACACATAACCAAAGCCCCCATCACACACACTTCAGAAGTCTGGAGTGGGGCCAGAGCAAACACCTGGTAAAGTGAAATAAGCAGGTGGGAAGGGGTGGGGCAAAGCAGGTTAAACCTGTCCCTGACCAGGTACCACCCTCAGACAGGTGGGGGAGGCCCAGGCCTGCCTGAGGCCCAGAAGGCTCATGGTCAATGGCAGCCCCGCCTCTATGTCTGACCAACCAGAGGGGCAGAGAAACTCCAAGGACAGAGCTCCACACTTGGACACCAGGGGCAGCATGAGCTTTGACCCACACCCTATCGACCTGCTGGCATTGAGCTGTTTGTTCATAGAGAGGGTGGCACAGCTGGCTTCCCAGCCCCTCCCCCAGCCTCTATCTTCACTGAAGAAAAGACCCAGGAACCCCATACTCCCACCTCCTGCCAATTCTGTGACACTTTATGACTTCAGACTGGAAGAGTAAGGCAACCCAGTTCTTTTCCAGCAAACTCCCCAAGGGGAGGCCAGTCTAGGAGCCCTTCTGGAAGACACTCAGCTTCAGCATCTTTGTGTTTCCTCATCAGGAACCACCACAGTTGTTGGAAGAGGAAAGAATTTGCGCATGAAAAGGACTTACACTCATTACACTAAAGAGTGTAATGTCAGGAAAAGAAACTAGCAGTGGAAACCGCCTCCCACTTCAGCCTAGGGCGGTAGGCACCCCAGGCCTTTGCAGTCTGCAGGTAGGTTGCCCCTAGGCAAGATTCGGACAGCGCCCACGTCTGGCTAGCTGGCCAGGGCAGGCCTACGCGAGCAGCTTACACCTGGCGGCGTCTACCTCTGGGGCAGACGCCGCCCTACTCCCCCGCTCCTGTGACTCCCAGGCGAGTCAGAGACGCAGGCGGCAAGGACCCATGACCTATGGCAAAGTCTGGGCCTTGAGACCCTTTCGCTTCCGGCTGCTGCTCTGGGAGACCTAACCTGGCAGGTTCCCAGAGGTGTCTCAGCCTTGCTTCCCCCAGCAGGCCAGGAACTAGGGACGGATCCCGCAGCTTGCATCCCCCACCCCAGTAGGCGTGGAGACCTGTAAAAAGTTGAAAACTAAGACGTCCCCGGGAGTGGCCAGCACGCGCGGACCCGCACACGCAGGAACAGTTCGAAGTTTCAAACAAGACCCGGTCCTACCGCTCCGGCCAAGTTGGTCGCACCGCACCAGGCCTAGCCTCCTGCCGCCTCTCCTGCCCAGAAACGTCCCTGAAGCCCGGTGGTGTCGCCATACACCTTGGCCCTGGCACTCACCTGCTGCAGCACCTTGTCCAGCGGCTCGGCCCGAGCCAGGCTGTCGGCGCTCAGGCCGCTTGCCTCACGGCACTCTGGACTTAGCGAGGACGCCTCGGTACGAACCAGCGACTTGTGTAGTGTCCCCACCTGCGAGCGGCGAGGGAAACCGATCAGCTGCCGGGCCCCTAGGGCCCTGAAGGTCCCTGGGGAACCCCACCGCCTCCTTTCCACCCTACCTGGCGGCTTTGCGGTTCCACCACTTGCCAGACTAGGAGGATTAAGTCAGTCTCGTCGGAGCCCAGGTCTGGCCCCAAGGCACCAGCCGTCGCCCCGAACAGGACGACCAATGACCTAGGCCCCGGGCATGGGTCTGCGGTGGGATCTGCCACGGGATCCGGGCCCGGGGGCGGGGGCGGCGGCGGAGTCATGGCCGCAGAGGAAGGGGGCGCCCGGACGGACGCACGCGGACCGACGAGGCGCACGCAATCACAGACCCACAGCAGACACCGATCAGCTTGGGCGGGACGCCGTGTGTCGGGGGCGGCACCTGCCGCCCGGCTGGCTCAGTGGGCGCCGCTGAGACCCGCCCGCGGCGCCCCGCAAGGCGGGGCGGCTACCGGCCCCCGCCCTCTCCCGGCGAGTTACCTGCCGGCCCCATCAGCCACGTGACCGGGGCGGCCCCGGGAACCTTGGAGGAGGAACCCAGCCCCGGACTCTAGAACTCACACTACTGGCCCGGGATCGCGCTCAGAATCCAGACTCCTACCTTCACGGCTGATCCTCCCTGACACCTGAGTGAACCCATTCTGCTTCTTCCCACTCCCAAGGACCAGGAGTCCTTGGTTAAAGGAACGTGCAAAGACCAGAGGCTTTCTCCTGTCCGTGAAGGTCACGGACCTGTGGAAGTCACCAGGAGGCAGTCTAGGGATTGTGGGGATCACGACAGCAGGTCTGGGGTCGACCGAAGTCACTAAGGATCAAAGGGAGCGGTGGGAGTTGCCAGAGGCCTGTGGTGGGTATCCTCAGAACTCGGCTGAGATAGGGGAGGGCAACAGGGATCATCAGGGTCCTTAGAGCTCTGGGGTGGTCACCAGACGTCACAGGGACCGGCTTGTCCACAAAGATGCTAGGCCCTTAGCCTGGCTCCAGGAAGTGCCAAAGCGTGGTCTGTGGGCTGAAGGTGAGCAAGCCCCGATGCCGGGAAAAGAACACGCTCCTCTCTCCCCTAATTCCTGAAAGCTGCACCCTAGAGGGGGCTGAAGCAGGATAGTGTGGGCCTGGAGCCTCACCCCTACCCCACATGAGGGCACCAGACTGTTTTCGTCCCGACCGGCCTGTTGCTTGGAGATTGCCGGCGGTTGGGGACTCGCGTTGAGTTTACGCGCTTGCAGGCTGCCCATCCTCCATCCCGGACCTACAGCCCAATTCAGACAGTACAGTGTTGGGGGCTCCCAGCTCCCCTTTCTCCCAGGGTGTTTGGTGAGGCTCCTTTATGGTGCGTTCCCAGACCGCCCTATATTTCCCCCACTTCTCTCATTTACGTGACTGAGAACTTAAATAACGCGGCGGGAAGGAGAAGCTCCAGCCTGGCTGAGATAAGGGATTGTCAAGTTCAGCACAAGACCAAAGCGGGAGCTTGCACTTTAGGCTTTCGGACAGGCAGGGCGCTGCGTCCAGGCCTGTGGACAACAGGATAGAGCCGGCAACCTGGGCGCGTATCCAGCTCATGCCGGGGGAAGGGGTACCTGGGGGCTAGAGACCTCAGGGTGGATGAGGCCTCTCCGAGGTCTTGCCAGGTTGCAGCATGTTCCCACTTGGCAAGTGAAGAAACAGGTGTCAAGGACAGAAGTGACTCAGGTTGGGACTCACCGACTGGGAGTGAGTGGAAAATGCACTACTCGCGCGGGTGGGGGGCGGTTTAGGTCTATTAACACTTCCTCTTAAGGATGGTGGCAGCCCCAAGCCAGACGCCTACCCGGACATTCACCTTCTTGTACCCACCCCCCGGAAGCTCTAAGCGAATCTGGTGCGAGGGGAGTGGAGAACGTCGCCCCGCCCCCACGATAACGTTGGAATGTCAAATATTTGTTCTTCGGGTGGGGCGCAACTGCGAGGTAAGGCTCCTCCCACTGCCGCCTGGAAGTGCGCCTGCGCGGCGCGGAGTAGGGCCTTCACCCCGGCCTTGCCCTTCTAACCTCCGCTTCCCCTCAGCAGCCTCTCCCCTCGCACGTTTCTAAAACTCTGCTGACCAGCGTCGCTTCTTTCCTGTCTTCTGTCTGAGCTCACTCCTCCTGGACAGAGCCTTAGGCCGATGCCGGGAAGTCCAGGTACTACTT